GAGATTAGACACGTGACATGTTTATACCCACTCAGCCTATCAGTCAGAACTATGGATGGACTACTAGATTTTAATTCAGCTCAAAGGTGTTATTCTCATGTCGAGACCTAAAGGCTTTGGATACACATAGTAGTGAGAAGAGTTTTAAGACAAAACAACAACCGTGATTTTCAAGTGTTTTTTAGTTGTTGAACATTTTTGAATAAGGCTGGAAGTATTACATAGTTTATATTTGTCATTTTATCACTAATGCACATCTATAATGGATTTTCTTTTCAATTTATAGAGACCTGTAATGAATATGAATACTTTACGTTATAATTCAATAATTTCAAACATAAACAATGCAATGTATGATATGATAGATAGAAATTGTAAGTTTTTCTTCTACAAAATAAACTACAAAACAGTTTATACATAAAACTTGTTATCAGTATAATACTGTTGAATGAATCACATTTAACCTGATAAATATTGAGGAATGTTTATTATAAGAGGCTTTGAATAGTTTTATTTCAATCTCAGTTTAACTTGGCAAAAGTTAGTTATAAATAGGTTCTAGAAAACACACAAGTTATGCTATTTATAGTATGGCTTCATAGAGATGAGTAAGATTTCAGCTAAACCAATTACCGACATCACTAGAAATGTGAAGAAATTTGTTAGTCACATTAAGCTAATGAATAGCAGTGATCGTTATTTCACCCATTAAATGAACTGGAACAGATTATAAATTAATGTTTCATTTGGATAATTCCACTTTACTGAGAAAGGATATATTCCATCTAAATATCATGGATTGATTCAATGTGTTGACACTTGTCTGAATGACTTGGCAACAGGTGCACTATGTTTGCAAGCTAGATGATTGGCGGTAGTCGGCAGGAAATGGAGAGCTCAGTTTTCATGCTAGTCAACATTCCTCAGCATGTTTTGCTGGTATCGACGGAACTGATCCCGTATCTGCAATCGCAAAGAAACAGACGCTTTCTATGGGGAACGAGTGTCCGTCAATTTATGTCCAAGTTGAGAGCGCTATTATTGGAACATTTACACCGCGCCTGGGCACGACTGAGATGTCAACCAGTTATTTAGTCAGAGAAGAGTAATCAATAACACATGCCTGTTAGTCGAATGAGATCGAACAAGTTACAACGTGGACCCTGATTTAAATCGCCAAATAGCGTGCAGTTTTGATACACCTAGCTGACAAGTCCCAACTAATATAAAGCCTTAGTTCATCAATTCCTGTTGACTACTTCCAATTACATGGAACTCATCAAAATGTCTCGCGATGCCAATCCAATTAAACTAGAGACCGCGCATTAGAACTCGATCAATGGAATCTTTTGAGTGCTAAGGATTAGAACGACATAAGATTACGATTCATTACTCGGTGACATCAGCAAAGTGTAGTTCAAGTGAAAAACTTCAGTTTAACGAACTCTATTAGGCATATACTTACATTCATAATAAATATGCCAAATCTGAGTACAGCTGTGCAACGATTACACATGGAACGTTTTCACATGAACAACGCAAAATTAAGAGATTGAGTAAAATCAAGAAATTTTTCATGTGAAAATCAATACATAGTTGAAAGGAAAAACCATACACTACTTGAAATGATAACATGGGCTGATGTCCTATGTGGGTTAAGTCATTCATACGTCTTGTCTCCAGCACAGGTCTAGGTAGATAGTAAATTTGGCTTATCTACCCCATCTCTAACTCGAATGTAGGCTTAACTACATAAGAGCACAGACTGCGAATGCTAGTGATGCCACTCAGTTACCCAGGATGAAGTAGGGTTTTAAATCTGGATTTATTGAAAGAAAGCTGAACGGACTCCTTAATTATCAAGACACTAGAGTGGCATACAGACCGAAATCTTTTCAGTCTACCATCGAGTCAACAAAACTTTCACATATTTCAACTTTCAGTTAGCATATGCTGAACAAAATCAGCATTGACATTCAGTATTATCCATGCTAAAGTTTTGTGAACAACCCGAGCAGAACAATCAAACTAAAAGCACCAACTAAGTATCACTGTACATAGGATGTTGATTAAATAATGTACCCCTTCATCATATACTTGGAAATGAGCTGTACTCTAAGTGTCAAGGCTAATGATATCAATCGGTTACTCAGGTTGAAGTAGGGTTACAACTCGGGATTTAGTGAAGAACGCCGAACGAACACCTCAACTATTAAGACACTACTCCACATAATTCAGCATACCTAGTTTATTTCCTTCTCATGCTTATTTGTAGTGACCCTTCATCTCGGAAAAACACAATATTATATGTCAACTAGCGAAACAGACGCCCAACCATCAGAATCATTTCATATTACATTGGTAATAAATCTTCCAGAGCAAGAACTATTGTATCCTTTTAATGTTTTAATCATTCATATATATATATATATATTCATTTATTATTATCATCATGTAGAAGGTATTCAAAACAAGTGATGGAATGACTTCACAAAACAATCTTAACTAATGATCATAACTGTATCAGGAGATGAAGAATTCATAGTTAGCCAGCCATAATTTGTAACTGAAGACCCTAGATGACAGTTCAATATGACGCAGATGTATGGTTTCCGAGTAAGTGATGCTGACGTGAGACGCAGGATACCAGGCAGGGATAATAAGTAGATTGATAAGATTGTGAAATTTCGTCAATGAGGTGACTGCAACATGTGGCTCACATCACCAATATCCCCCCCCAACGTAGAATATTGGTCGTCGTAAGAGTGAGTTGGAGAGAAACTAGTGGCAGATGAACTAAAGGGAGACATCAACTTCTTAAACCAATAACTGGTGATCTGAGCCACATTATTAGATCCAGACAATCTGACTAGTGTCCAACCGATTGTAGTGATCAATAGCTGAAGTTGTTAGGTGACATGCAACAGAACGGGTCCAGATGAACTACCTCCTTTCTTCCTGTAGCTTTAAGAAATATGTCATTTTAAAGTCATTAATTATTACTTGCAACCATATATACAGATTCCTTTGTTAGGCATCTCGATGCAATACATACAAAAGGGGGTTGAAAACGTTGAATGAAATATAACACATTGTTAGTATTCAGTATTGTCTGACTACAAATAAAGCTCGACTAGCAAGGGATTCAAACTTAAGATCTTGTTTCCGACTTTTTATAAATGTACAGCGGTTCATCAAATATCAGATTGGACCTGTGGGTGCGCACTGCAACCACTATCAATTTATTTAATTCACATAGAATCTAACACGAATGGGCACCAAAACTAGGCATGTGCCACACAAATAATAATGGTCTGTGCTAGGATACTGGCCGGGTAACCGAACCGGTGGTTTTCTTGGAGGATCACTCCCAAAGCCCTTGAACAGAAGTCCCTATCCACAACGCAGTGGAGCAAAGTCAGGAGATGGCGTCTCATAGTAGTCAGTGTCGAAAACAGGTTGGTGTGTCATTCGTTCCCAAGGGATCCCTGAGGCCCCTTGGATAGACATTGGTCTGGAATCAGGATTCTCCAACTACCCTAGATGAACTCTCCGTCTTCACCAACCTAATTAGTGTTAGACGTTTGTGTTTTACACTGACATTTGCGCAAATGACAGTTCGGAAGCGGGTAAGTAGTGAGTAGGACATCTTTAGTATGGGCAATAACGCAACGCCGAACGAGAGTGGACTTTCCTCATTCTCGACCGGACCACGGTGTTTGGCATGGCACAACAGAACAACATATTTTAAATAACAGTCTATCAATACGCTTCCTTAATTACGTTTTCCTCCAAAACCTATGCGAAGTCAGATTTGAAACACCATTTATTCATAGATTAAAATGGGCATATATCTTTTACATTGGTATATGGATTATATTTTATTGGCCAATTCAATGGTTACAACGTTGGGTATTTGAAAAACGTCGATTGATGATCTGTGATAATTTCGTTGAATTTAAACAACCGTCAGAGAATGTTTACTTAAGTCAATTGAAGAATGAATGGTGATGATGAATCGACAACTTTCTATGATACAAGTTCCCAATCTGAATAAAGGTGGACACTGTTTTCTATCCATTTCAAACTCACTGAAATACATTAATTATATGCTATAGAATATACAATATCTGAAGAATATGACCACATTGCTCTAAGTATGTGTACATAAATGTATATTTATCTATAGCTTTTTTATAAAGAAAACTATTTGACGAATTGACTTTGTTTTATATATTCACGGTAACCTGTCACTCAAGTGCAACCTGGAACCTGCCACATATATGCACCAATTCAAGTTGTCATATCACACCGGTACATCAGTACAACAATACATACTCACTTATTACATAATGAAATAACGTATGACTTCAATAGAGTTTTGTTCTCTGGGCTGGACGGTTTGATCGTGGAGCTCTCATCGTTCTTCTAAACGACATCATCCATATGCGTTTCACAGCTCGTTCTGTACACCTCGACGTTGACTGTTTCGAACACTTCACTTCTATCTGAAGTTTGTGCTGATGATGTCGTTCAGAAGAACGATGAAAGCTCCACGATCAAACCATCCAGCTCAGAGAACAAAACTCCATCAAAATCATCCACCTAAGCTACAAATCTCCACCATCTCAATGTATGACTTCTTTGAAGATTAGTGGATGTACATTGCTAAGGAGCTCCAATGATTGTCTAACTGATTGGTTCGTGAATTTATTGAAATTCAACAATCTCCACAACCTTATACTCACAATAAACGATCTCATTGACATATTTTACTTTCCTTTACAGTATTACTCTTATTGTTGAAGTATACACAGTCACTAAATACTCTCAATTATAACAAGCTACTAAACATTGTCAATTTACTGAGTTCATAGAAAGGTTCATTCAGCGTAAATTTGTTCATTTATTGTATCTGTTCTATTTATTATTGTGATGATGATGATAATAAGAACAAGAATAAGAATAATAAAGTTATCAGTTACTGTATTTTTACATATCCTCTCTCAATCTTTTCAGCTTTTTTATCTAGTTCGTTTTAAGTATTAATTATACGGCTATTAATTTTTATTTCTTTCATTGTAGAATTCGCTTTAAGTAGAAATTCTGTATTGTTTAGATGTTGAAGATCGTTATGGAGTACACGTTGGTCGTTTCTTCTTCCTCTTCGTTGTTGTTGTTGCTTTCGTAGTCGTCTTTGTGGTAGAGGTTTTCTCTTCTGTATGATTCAATAAATGTGATAAACCAGCTGACCGTATCCCCTGTAATAATTGTTCACGTGCAAATTTTAACTCGGCTGATAAATGTTCTATTTCAGGTGCATTTAATAAAGCTGGAATCAGTGTAGATCGAAGCCAACGTGGACTGTTGTCCCCCATCCCCAACAACAAAGCAATAAATCAATAAAATAGTTAACTTTTGTATTAAGTGGTCACTTTATAATGTTACGGTTGTTTAGTCTTTAGTTTTGATAAAACTCTACTGATTAAGTTGAAATATGGTCAGCACACTAGTTATTGAACAATGCCGAATATCTAACATGATGTTTGACAGTTGGAGGTATTCGATGAGAAGCACTGGTTATTCAAATACAACGAGTCTTTCAAAACCTCAGGATATTACTGCTTTTTTGAGGGGTTTGGACCGCATCATTTATAGACGTTACAGTTTCACCGTTTGACCCGCGAGTAAACCGCACGACTACAGCTGGTCACTGTGACACTGTAACTAACTTCGAGTCATGTTACCTGAAGTTTATAACCATCAATTAGGGAAATCTTAAGCATTCAAGCTGGAAAGTCTGTACCTCGTAAAACGACTATGACCAAAATTTAACAATTTGATAAATTTATAGGATTCCTTGGATTAGCTACCCCTTATTTTAGTTTAAGCAATCTATTACATTCGAACGAAGGATGAGTGAATGGAAACTGCTACGGATTATTTATGGACTATTATTACATATATTCTTACTGGACAATTATTAAGTAAATAGATTATATGTACATTCATATTCCGTTTGTTATAAGCCTTCACTTGACCCGTTAACTACTGTCATCCGATTTGCCATTCTTAATTTATTCCCAATTTATTAGTTATCATCTCCCGTACTCACATCCAGTTTTGGCTTGATCTTGTGTAATTATTTCTTCATTTCATCAGTATAGGGTTGTGAAGGGTGTTAAGCTTTGATTGAGAACATGAACCGATCAATGTTAGACCACTATTGACAACCTGGAAGCACTGGACAGACATTTCGTCGTAGTATAGGACTTCTCGAGATAACGCATCCACGGTCCCGCACGCAGGATTCGAACCCATGACCTTCGATCTCAGTTTATCGTCTGATGAGGTCTCGTCTTGTTTATTTATTTTAACACATAGATATCGGTACAAGGAAGCACCAAATACATATGCGCTACACAGATCTCATTCGACATGTGTGAGGGCTGTGATACTGCCCGGGTGTCCAGATCGAAACAGGTGGTTTTCTTAGGGGGCCACACCCGAGCCTTCGACCTGAAGGTCTGATCCACAAGGCAGTGGAGCATCGTAACGAGCTGCAGTCCCATTGTAGCCGGTGACCAATGATTGGTTCATACGCCATTTGTTCCTTCAGGACACTGGAGCTCATGTGCATCATTGGTTTGGAATAAGGGTTTTCCAACTCCCTAGTACTGAAGTCGTATGTCGTATTAGTCGTACTCAAGTAATAAACTTAACAATAACATATAAGTATTTCCCATTAAATTTCTACTTCCTAAAAGAGAAACACTGTGCAAAGGTTGAAACAGATAACCAGTTTTCTAAAAGAATCACTGATGAGACAATAACTGGTATATGCTTGGTGAAAAAACAAGTATTATGAAACTAAATGAACTCATATCCTTGTATGAAATGTTTTTTCACTATCATTATAGTAACTGCTTCTATGAATTCGGTGTTCACCTTGTTGTGCTAATGAGGTATGGCAACTTGAACCGATGCATATATATGCCTGGTCCTACGTCGTAGCTGACTGAGTGAACTAGGTAAACAAGTACACATCTGTTTATAATGCAAGAGCTACGGACACCAACTACAACGAGCTTAAACGAAATCGAGAGGTACTGTTAGAAGTGCAGGGGAACAGCTGACACTTCTCGGCTGCTCATACAGTGGAAAAGTACTTCTGCTTGAGTTATCTGACTTAGCTACCTGGGGTTGTGACCGCAGTGCTTGAGAGCAAACGCTTAAGATGGTTTATACAGTGCTTTTTATGAGTAGTTCTTGATGTGTTAGCTCTGACTTTCAAGGTCTTACGATCGAATACAGAGATCCATGGGGTAAGGTGAGGTGTGATGTTTCGAGGGTTGATTTTCTCTAAACCTCTCCTCCAGCTGTAAGAAGACAGCATCACTGTAGACACTGTTCGTCTGAGAAAACTGTTTTATTGCCATCACACTCCAGTATAATTAGCAGTACGACTTTATCTTCGGACTTTAAGCAGCTTTTTCTAGTATTATCACATTCCAATCGACCAGACTGGAATAATACGATACAAAGGAACAAGTATTCTAGCCAATATAGTTCAGTCAAATCTCAACAATAGTTAAACCAGACCAACACTTCAATGTGGCAGCTACAATCGAACTAAACTCAAGTAGATAAGGTGTGGTTAAAGTCTGTAACCTTACGAATGAAAGTCGAGTTTTGATTTGAGTAGAATGAGATTATCTACACATGCTTGGAATCGAGAAAATTATTTACAAAAAGTAAAAAGGTTCTCTGTTTTGATTGATCAATATGAAAAGTCGTACTACCCAATTAATCGAAATACGCAGTCGGCGAAACCATCGAAATATTTTAGTATAAAGGATAAAACATAGAATTCGGTTGCAAGAACTTACCGAAACAGATTTACTTCATTCCATTCGGACGGTAATCGACATTTAGAAATATCACCACTACAATAATCAACAGTACGTTGTGTCGCGATTTCATTTAGCCAATTTAGAACATCACTCCATCCTGGAGTAGTATAAGCATCTGGACAATCAGAGATTTTTTTATCCGTTGTGACCATTTTTGTTGCACAACAGTGTTCCTGGAAGAAATTTCAAAAAATCTTATTTATTGATTTAAGTTACCGCAATGCAGCAATATATAGATACACATCAGAAATTACTGATAATGACTGAGGGCAGTTGGTAGGAAACCCTGAACACAGGCTTCGTGTTAGTCGGCACTAATTATAAAGGGGTAAGTGAGATGTTGAAGGAAATGATCCACCCAGTGGAATTCAAACCCACGCCACTAAGCCTCATCGAAACTTAAGGAATGAAAAAATACACATGTGGAGCTTGTAGGCTTGAGCATTATCTGATACATAACATGATCGATCATTTGTAACATTAACGAAGAACATACTCTGTATAAACATCTTTGATCATAGCTTTTATCAGAACTAAAAACTAAACAATTTATTCTTGATTAACAAATGATGTGTAATCTGTGCAACGATTGTTTACTACAGGTCTGATCATCCTTAATGGGTTGCTGTCTGACGAAATCTCAGCACAGATTCAAAAAGCTCGTTTGGCTTTTGCCAACATACGTCACCTATGGCGAAGGCAAGATATCCGTCTATCAATTAAAGGACAATTATACTGCGCGGTATAGCAACATGGACCAATGCATATATGTGCCTGGTCCCACGTTGTAGCTGACTGACTGACAAGCATTTAATAAGGATTGAAATAAAGACAGACAAATAACCAATCGAAACTGTCATTGAAATCCCGAGGTTTAGTTTAGTAAAACATAATATAGGATAGGTCTAGTACATTTGAAAGGATAAGTGCTAACGTGATTAACATACATAATCATTGTATCATCTAACCAAGAAGTATTCGATCTTACCCTTAATTCAGCTAACCGTCCTTGTGCAATTTCACAATAATCATTCCATCGATTTATACAAGATTCTATGTAGGTATTATGATTATGATTATTACTATCAGTTATCATATTTGTACATTCCAAATCAATCGGGATTATTAACTCATCTTCATTGAATACACAATTACTTCAGTCGGTTTTATGCGAATTTTATCAGTATGAATTTTGATTCGATTATTATTCATTGATCTTTTTACAGGATTAAACCAATTAGGTCGAGTGTTGACTTGAATTTGTAGAAATTTTGGATCGGTTTCCCAAGGTAATAGTTCAATGAGTAAATCACAAAAATAAACTACAGCACAACGTGATGAAAGTACATTCTGTGTATTATTATTATTATTATGTGTTGATAGTAATGGATTACAAAATGTTTCCATCCACCATTGTTTATAATTTATCCCAGTTAATCGATTATCTTCTGAGCATAATTGACGTGCAATTAATAAAACTCCTATCAATAATTGTTTATCATGTTTAGTTGATTTTAAAACATTCAATTGACTTTTATGAATAAATACATCATCTAATAAATGTAAACAATCTAAATCAACATTATCATTGTTGATATAATTCATATTTGAATTGAATAATGACAATAGAAGTTGATGAATTATAACTGGAAAAGAATAATATTAATGAGAATGAGAAACATTGAAGATCAAGACTATGGTTGGAAAATGGCAAAATGTTATAGTAAATATGGAGGGATACTAAAATTCGAGATCTACAGTAAAACAAAGTAAGTGCATCTGTACCGTTGTGATCGAGTCTGAGCTATGTGACTCAACGTCTCCAACCATTGATTGAGGTTATCGGACTGAAGATAACCAGGTAGTGTCTTAGTCACTTCAGTTGATCAAGATTTGCAACCTTGTCAACCAATTTGTCGGCTTTTCCAAGTTCCTTATCTTTGCCTAAACATTGCTCCCTCAGTTTTCTAACCATACACAAGCAATACTTTGAATATGCATATGCTCGTAAACCTATGGCTTCTAATATTTTCACATTTACAACACCATGTTTCACAGCCATACAGTAACACGAAAAGAAATCCTGAGAAGTATGCTAGCTCTTCGACTGGAAGATGGAAATCTTACCTACGTCACAAGTGACTCAAGTTTACAAAGGCTAATAAAGTTTTGGGATCTGCCCTAAGATATCATTGGACACAATTATTGATGACGGAGCACCTTAGCAAATGAGTAAGTATAACTGTCTCCTTCTACGAATTTTTCCGTAAACTTATCTACATCTCCATTGCTTTAGTTCATCATGAACACAGGCTTTGTGTAAGTCGGCGCAAGTGAGATGTTGAAGGAAATGATCCACCCAGTGGAATTCAAATCCGCGCCACCAAGCCTTACTATAACTTGTAGAATGAAAAAATATACATGTGGAGCTTGTAGGCTCGAGTATTGTCTGATACGTAACGTGATCAATCATTTGTAACTTTAACGAAAACTATACTCTGTATAAACATTTTTGATCACCTAACTGCTAGGATTACCGGACAAGTGATAGTGAGGTTAGATGTAAGGTATTAGGAAATGATGGTAAATCAGTTGATGAGGTTGTGAATCTTCATCGATTGAGACGGTTGGCCCACGTATTACGTACGCCTGAACACCGATTACCACGACACGTAATACTTTAGTTCGTGATTCTCATCCTTCTAATAAAAATGATATTCACTATATTTGACCCTTCTTTGTGCCATTGATACTACTATTACTACCAGTTTAACTCCTTCACTATTTATATTATTCAGTCCATCCCCATTATTCTAAAGTAGTATGACAAGACTTAGACCAATGTAATTCTATTATGAGATCCTATAAAATTACTTTACTTTTTATCAGAAAGCACTTTCCCCCTATACTGTTGTAAACTAAAATAATTTAGATAATTGTGACTTCATAACTAATTACAAACTTATATATTAACATTCGTATCATATTTTGTGTGTATACAAGCACTCAGTTGTTTGGACCGAAGCAAAAGAGAGAGAGAAAGAGAGAAGTATATGAACCTGTTAATGATTGTTGAAAACAGGATATTTCAATAACTCAGACATTGAACATCATAGTTTACTTGCAATTTATTAATTAAGTCACCATTCTGCATATACAAATATATAAATATATACATGGATTACATGAAACAAACTTACATTTAACAGTGGATACACCTCCTTTAATACATGTAATCATAACAGATATCAGTTGAAGAATATGAGACCAATTTACATGATCCAGATCATTATTGGACAAAACGACTAAAAGACGTTCGGAAATGTAATTTATCTAATAAAAGAATAAACTATTATGTTTTAAAACAATCGAAAACTATCTCTATTTAATAACATACTTGTATAATGCAATATCGTCTATATGGATGTAATTCCATAAAAGTAAAATACTCCCTTTGGAAGAATCCATGAACTTATTGTTATCATTAAAGTGATATATATATATAGATGTATACTTGAATTGTCAGATTTCGAAAGTAAAAACTTGTTGAATAGATTTTCGATGGAATGTTTAATCTCTTCAGTTGAATGAACACCACATAATAATTTGTGAATACAGTTATGAGTTGTTTCCCAATCTGAAAATATGCATAATGAAGAATATTCTTTTTGAAGATTACAATTGTGTATCAGATAAATAAAATTATTTTATTTATTTATTTTAACACACAGATATTGGTACAATGAGGCACCAATATATATGCACCACACACATGAATATTGGTACAAGAGAGCGCCAATATATGCGCCACACAAAACAATGAGAATTCGAAGAGAAGTAGAAAAAAAAACTAAGGAGCGCAAAAGAAAAGAGAACAATGACGAAGAGATTGGAGTAAGGTAGTGTGGTAGTAACGAGGGAACGAAAAGGTACAATCAGAAATCTTTCAGGTAAAGGAGACACAACCACTTTTTATGAAGAAAGTAAAAGAAGGTTACAGCAGGATCGCCACTGGCTTCTATTCTGAGCCATATCTGATAACGTTTCTAGCCACTGTGTAGCACCATCTCTCAGACCCCAACCAGGGAGTCGTGAAGGACCAACACAAGCCAGTCCTTTGCAGCTTTCTTTCATACCACGACACCATGTCATGCACTGACCACCTTTCCGCTTCTTCCAACCAGTCCCAGAGTCGGCAAATAATGCACGACGTGGAATTCTCTGGGACGACATTCGGAGAACATGTCCAAGCCACCGAAGTCGGTGTTTCAAGATGGTGACACCAATTGAATTATCATCTCTGTGCCCGAACACACGATGCCGAACCTCTGGATTACTGACATGGTGTTGCCACTGAATGCCAGCAGTGGAACAACGTAACGAGATGCATCCCATAGTAGCCGGTGACCAACGATTGGTTCATACGTCATTTGTTCCTTCAGGATCCTGGAACCCAAGTGCATCATTGGTTTGGAATAAGGGTTTTCCAACTCCCCAAGGTGGACTCTCCATGTCCACCAACCCGATTAAAGCGCCGGACGTTTGATTTTCGTCCTCTTAATTTCGTAAACAACACTCGCTGTGAAAGAATGCAGTTAGTAGGACTTCCCTGGCAGAGGCTATATATGTGTGGCCATGTGAGAGCATTTCGAGAGAGAGAGAGAGAGAGAGAGCGGACTCTCCCCACTCTCGGCCGTACCAGGGCATTTGGGGGCGATAAATAAAATTAGATGTAGTTTAATAACAAAGCAAGAATTTATGTACTCGTCTTCAAGCCGGTTTCATGAATCAGATATGATGACACTAGCCAGTTGCTTAAACTAGCGCAAAATTTGACTATGCGAAGTCGAATGAAAAACACTTATGCCGAATCAAGTTTCATTACTTTGATTACGATCTTCTTGAAAAGATCTTGAACGTTGGACAGTTTAGTATTTTGAGACCATGTCTGAAACTAATTCACTTAGAACTCCAATCCACTGATTATGTATACTTCTCAAAAAATCATCCCCTCATACTATGAAAATTAGAGAAGTCATGTATAAATCAGTAACTATTTGCTCTGCTGACTCTGATTCATTACACACCTATGAAAAATTTGCGGAATACCGGTAGGTGCAAATTACCTTGTTGGAGTACATGCGATTACCGTAAACGAAGAATGTTTGGTGACGTGGCTCAAAATCGGTTGCAATGGTGGAGTTGCATTTATATTTTTCTCGCATTTAAATCCTAAGTTTTAAAATTACCTTATAGTATGTAAGCTACTTTTTTTCCTTGGATCACATTTTTATTGCTAATTTGTTTGAATACTACTGATAATGTTACTGCTTTTACTACTCTCGACAATTTCATCTCACTGTGCTGGTGCGATGTGGCAACTCGATTAGATATACAAGTGTCAGATTTAACACTGGATATGACTAACCATTCAGTATAAGAAATCTGACACACAAACACTTCAGCTTATTCAGAAGCAGGAGCCAAAAGAAAGCTTGGAGACAGATCATCTTCCAAATATTTTAGAAAATATTCCATTGGTCAATATTCCAGTTCGTGATGATTAGGTGCTTATCAAGGACAACCACGACAAATAAGGTGTACTGGTTTTGCTCGATGGAATGGAAGTATAATGATCAACGACCTCAGAGACGCAATGCCAAGGAACGAATAGATCACAACAACCTATCTAATATCTACAAACAGACCTTTGCACATACATATGCCAGTGATTACGTTGTATCGAAGTTTTTGAACAGCGTGAGACACTTTCCTCAGTTAAGTTTTTAGACACATGACCTGGAGGCAAAGCTAGCTGATGTATGAATCTGCGGCGTGATTTACCGAATCTTTCACAAATCCCCGTCGTTTCGACATAATACTGAAGCCTAAACCAGGTCTTTGTTTTCTAAACACAAAATTCGTAAAAACCGTGGAATTTAAAGTGAATGACTTGGATCATAATTGCCCTAAGGAGATTTACGTGCTGTACACGTTTCAAGTTAGATGCATGAATAAGACTAAAATCATCCAGTTCACTTTTCACACTCAAATATGTTATGAATATCAACAATGACATTTTGAGCCTGATCAGATGGGAACTGGAGTTCCACTCTGAGCAAACACGCACAATCTCCTTATTTTGGATACATTTTTGGGTTTTCTACTAAGTTTCCTATAGCTGTTTCCTCAAACTGGGCAAGATTTTCCCCGAAATCGGGAGATTGTTAGCTCACTTGAAATTGCAGCGTTGTTTTCGGTCCAGCTAAAATTCAACATTTAATGTAAAAAACAACTACTGACGAGTGCTTATTTGGACGACAGATGCAACCATACGTACTTCATCCTGAGTTTCTTTCGCAATCATCTTCAGAGAACAAACGACCGCCCGGATGACCTTGTAATTTTAACGTTACCGCCGCAAAATATTTCACTGTATTATCGTGCTAGTGGTTTCAATTGATTGACGCAAGCACAGTAGAGGCACTTGCCTAATTAGTTCCCTTATCCAACAGCAGAGGATCAACAAATACTCCAGGTATTTAACTATCTATATTTGAAAACAAAGAATCATCAAGTGATTGTGGACGGAATAGAGTAAGCTTTCGCTTAATGGGCTTCCATGTCTACTAGAATTGGATCACTAATACCTCCAGTCAGGAACCTTAGTGTGTTAACGATAAAAGATGGAAAGAAAGAAATCGGTAAATCATAGTAAGATATTATCTTTTGTGCTTAAGTATAGGTCAAGTCGCTTCTTATAGAACTCCTGTGAAGTCGTTTGGGTTAGCGAATTCTAGCATTTGACAACTCTTAAGGAGAAGAAGTTGTGTCTATAGTTCGTTCTGCTAGATTGTGTCTTCAGTTTCTGAGTGTTGCCCCTTAAGTTTGTGTTGAAGCTAAGCTCAATAGGTGTTTGAGGGGATGTCCAGAATTGTTAAAGATACAGTAAGCGATTAGAAGGTCACCTCTAAGACGCCTATACTCTAATGGATAAACGTTTGGTGATTAGCGGTGCTATTCATACCGCTTGGATTTGAGTTCCCGAACTGATTTCGTGTCTGTCCGTTGGTTTCGCCCCAGAGTGTCCTTATCCTTTTGGAGTGAGGGAGGAAATACTATGTTTCCATACTCTAAATGGGGACGAATAAAACTGTTGAAGATTATGTTGAACGTTCTTCCGTCAAATTGGCCAAAAATGCGCTTCACTGTTGCCAGTGCAAGGTTTGCTCGAAAGACATTTTTGTCACAGTTAGCGTCAGTTTTCAAATCGTGCGGTAACAGCACTCTGAAATCCTTTTCAACTTGGGATACTTCTGGAAAGGAATTTCCTAAGTTGTAACTGTAGTCTGCAGCATATTGCAGGTGGACTACTTTACACTTTGAAGTGTTAAAGGCAAGTTCGTTATCGTTTGCCCAACTTTGAAGTCGTGTCAGATCCTCCTGAAATGCCAGTATATCCTCCCGGTTGCATATCTCTCTCCGAGGTTTCACATCATCAGTAAAAATAATAAGTCTGACGACAATTCTTCTGGAATATCATTTATATAAATCAGGAAAAGAATAGGTTCTAGTACTGAGCCCTGGAGAACCGCACTATGACATTTCATAGCCTGGAAGAAAGTGAAGTTAACCCTGATTTCGAAATGTCGATTTTCTAGATATGATGTGTTCCAGCAACTTAGTGGTGATTTGGTGCCCAATCGTTTGAGTTTATGGATAAGACTTATATTGTCGGCTCTATCAAATGCTTTTGAAAAGTCAAGGTGAACAGCGTCCAGCTTTCTCTTGCCATCCAGGATAGTCGTCCATCTGTCGACCACAGTCAGCAGGTTGCTTATACAAGAATGATTCTTCTTGAAACCATGCTGTTGGGGTGAAAAGAAATTTAAGGATAATAAACAGTTGTGTGTACCGTCACTTATAATGAACTAAATAATTTTCGAATGTGTAGGGAGGAGAGCCACCGGTCGGTAGCTTGAAAGTTCGCTGCGTCGACCTCCTTTGAAAATTGGTGTGATGTCACTCGAAGGCCACGTTCAAGATGCTCATGCTCTAATGAATAAAATTTCATTGCTCTCAGACGCTCTTTACAAGGATTGAATTCGAATCCTCGAAGTGATTTCGTGGCTCGTCCATACACACATTTCACAGTATATTTATCCATGTGAATTGAGTAGAACCACATTACTTTATACTCCCTTCTTCCGCTAATTTCTTGTTTGACGTAATGTACATTGAGTTTAACTTTCACCTTAAGAAACGGTTTGGACAACAATTGGTGTACAGAATTATAGCTTAAATCGATCAGTGTCTCTGAACCAACTCAACAACAATCTGGAGGAAATCCTGGTGGTAAACTGGCCTGTCCAGCATTACATCGTATGAAGAGCTATACCTCCGTTGAACTAAATAAAGTCCATCTCATCATGCTGA